TGATCTATTTGTCTTTTGTCAACGTGACACTTTTTTACTGATTGGCCGTGTCGGGTGGTGGAGGGTTACGACACATTTATAAATAACGCGATCTAAACCCAAAAACGTTGATTATGAATAATATTGGTCGCGAAAGCCTACACGCGTTAAACTGAATAATACAGATGTTGTACATTATTTCATAAAAACAATGTTTAATTATAATGACATCAGGTGTTATTTACTGTACCTACGAGTGCATTCTACTGCACTCCTACATGGCAGGGCGGGAGACGAGGTTGGAGGAGCTACTGGCGGGTAGATGGCGTGGCTCACAGAGTGACTATAATTACCATAGAGAGGTTTTTTGGGTTAGATCGCGTGAATATAAATGAGTCGTTAAAGCCGCCACCACCCGACACAGTCAATTAGTGAGGGTTTGTCACGTAAACAGAGCATGCCAAGTCGCTGCTAGTTCAACAAACACCGGTGTTTGTTGTCTACTTACGAACGAGTTTGGTTCATTTGTTTGTAAGTCCAACTTTACTCCTGTTGATTCCAAACGTGTTGAACGGCATGTACACTAAACACGGGGAATGGCTTTAAAAGTTGTATAATCTCCTGTAGATGTAGATGCCACTAGTTCTTCATGTTCTGCAGATGTAGATGCCACTGGTTTTTTCACGTTCTGCAGATGTAGATGCCACTGACTGGTGCTTCACGTTCTATAGATGTAGATGCCACTGGTTCTTCACGTTCTATAGATGTAGATGCCACTGATTCTTCACGTTCTGTAGATGTAGATGCCACTGGTTCTTCACGTTCTATAGATGTAGATGCCACTGGTTCTTCACGTTCTGCAGATGTAGATGCCACTGATTCTTCACGTTCTGTAGATGTAGATGCCACTGGTTCTTCACGTTCTTCAGATGTAGATGCCACTGGTTCTTCACGTTCTATAGATGTAGATGCCGCTGGTTCTTCACGTTCTGCAGATGTAGATGCCACTGGTTCTTCACGTTCTATAGATGTAGATGCCACTGGTGCTTCACGTTCTGCAGATGTAGATGCCACTGGTTCTTCACGTTCTATAGATGTAGATGCCACTGGTGCTTCACGTTCTGCAGATGTAAATGCCACTGGTTCTTCACGTTCTATAGATGTAGATGCCACTGGTTCTTCACGTTCTATAGATGTAGATGCCACTGGTTCTTCACGTTCTGCAGATGTAGATGCCACTGGTTCTTCACGTTCTATAGATGTAGATGCCACTGGTGCTTCACGTTCTATAGATGTAGATGCCACTGGTTCTTCATGTTCTGCAGATGGAGATGCCACTGGTTCCTCATTTTCTGCAGATTTAAATGCCACTGGTTTTGAACGTTCTGCTGATGTAGATGCCACTGGTTCTTCACGTTCTGTAGATGTAGATGCCGCTGGTTCTTCACGTTCTTCAGATGTAGATGCCACTGGTTCTTCACGTTCTGTAGATGTAGATGCCACTGGTTCTTCACGTTCTGTAGATGTAGATGCCACTGGTTCTTCACATTCTTCAGATGTAGATGCCACTGGTTCTTCACGTTCTATAGATGTAGATGCCGCTGGTTCTTCACGTTCTGTAGATGTAGATGCCACTGGTTCTTCACGTTCTTCAGATGTAGATGCCACTGGTTCTTCACGTTCTATAGATGTAGATGCCGCTGGTTCTTCACGTTCTGCAGATGTAGATGCCACTGGTTATTCACGTTCTATAGATGTAGATGCCACTGGTGCTTCACGTTCTGCAGATGTAGATGCCACTGGTTCTTCACGTTCTATAGATGTAGATGCCACTGGTTCTTCACGTTCTGTAGATGTAGATGCCACTGGTGCTTCACGTTCTGCAGATGTAAATGCCACTGGTTCTTCACGTTCTATAGATGTAGATGCCACTGGTTCTTCACGTTCTATAGATGTAGATGCCACTGGTTCTTCACGTTCTGCAGATGTAGATGCCACTGGTTCTTCACGTTCTATAGATGTAGATGCCACTGGTGCTTCACGTTCTATAGATGTAGATGCCACTGGTTCTTCATGTTCTGCAGATGGAGATGCCACTGGTTCCTCATTTTCTGCAGATTTAAATGCCACTGGTTTTGAACGTTCTGCTGATGTAGATGCCACTGGTTCTTCACGTTCTGTAGATGTAGATGCCACTGGTTCTTCACGTTCTGTAGATGTAGATGCCACTGGTTCTTCACACTCTGTAGATGTAGATGCCACTGATTCTTCACGTTCTGTAGATGTAGATGCCACTGGTTCTTCACATTCTGCAGATGTAGATGCCACTGGTTCTTCACGTTCTGTAGATGTAGATGCCACTGGTTCTTCACGTTCTGTAGATGTAGATGCCACTGGTTCTTCACGTTCTGTAGATGTAGATGCCACTGGTTCTTCACGTTCTGCAGATGTAGATGCCACTGGTGCTTCACGTTCTATAGATGTAGATGCCGCTGGTTCTTCACGTTCTATAGATGTAGATGCCGCTGGTTCTTCACGTTCTACAGATGGAGATGCCACTGGTTCCTCATTTTCTGCAGATTTACATGCCACTGGTTTTGAACGTTCTGCTGATGTAGATGCCACTGGTTCTTCTTTATGTTCTGCTGATGTAGATGCCACTGGAATTAGCACGTAGATGCTAATTCCCTTTGGGGATCGTGTTCCCTCTACCCTTGAAAAACTCGGTCTGAACAGGCAACTGGACCATATCGACAACTTTGTTCGTATCTCTGAAAGTTCGTAAGTCGAATGTGCGTAAGTCGAATGTCCATGTATATTTATGCAATCTAACCCAAGAACAACCTCTATTATTGACAATGTTGGTCGCGATAGCCTACTACGTGTTAAACTGTAATAACTTTGGCCAACAAATAGATATTTTTTTATTATCGTGACCGCCGATCGTGATAATAGAATCGCTGGAGGACGGGGGTTGCTGATTGGTTCAAAAGCGTCCATTGCTCTCATTGGCTGGGGCCAGTGTCGACAAAAAAGATGGCGGCGGGTGTGCGTTTCCTCACTCCTAAGAGCTTTATAGATTTTTGGATTTTCTACATTTTTGTTACCGTAAAACCGTTTTCTTTCAAGCTCCGTAACGAATCAGCACTCCGCGGGAGGGTCTGCCTCCGCTCTACCATATTACGCCTTCGTCAAACTGCGGACAAGGTGTCCACTCGGGAGAAATAGAAGTTCCAGTTACTCAAAACTCTTACAAACCAAGGCCCAACCATCTCTGTGTATTTTACAGATGTTATAAAAACACAATTAGCAACATGGAACATCAATATTAATATCACATCAAGGTACCAAAACCATTTGTTAAAGGGCGATATGCTCTTGCCAAAGTGATTACGTGGCATTAGAAAATTGTCACGATCATCATCAGCCATTATCACTCCACTGCTGGATGAAGATCTCCCCAAGCATTTAACATAGCCGAGTGGGTGTACACGGACAGCTTTTGGGGTAAGATTACTCAACAAATAGGCGGATGAGAGCGGGCTGGAGTGCTTTTGTGAAGTTTGTCTTGATAATGAAAGTTCATTAACATGGTAATTCACCAACAATACTGACGTAGCAAGGAATCGAACTTAGGTCGCCTAATTAATAAGACAGTGAGCTGTCTCCCCAGTGCTTGTGTACGTACGTGTGTACGTGTATACGTGTGTACGTGTGTACGTACGTGTGTAGGTGTGTACGTACGTGTGTACGTGTGTACGTGTGTACGTACGTGTGTACGTGGAACTTCTTTCGCACCATACGTAGCCAACCGTACTAATCGGAAGTGCGGGGGAAGGATAAACGAAACACAACAATAAGTTCTAAACAAGTTAGTTTGACAAACTGGACGACGATGATTTAAAAGTGCCCAGCTCCAGTGGCTTCCTAATATCGAAAGGAAGAACGTTCCAGACGGCCGCAGAAGCGCATCTGAAAGGGCGACTGTGTGAGTGAGTGTGTGTACGTGCCGGCCTTCATAAGTGCTACTCGTGAAACAGCACTTGCCCTAACAGGCTATACGGGTGACATTTGTCTTTGCGCGTATGTGTGTTAAACTTCTTTCGCACCGTACATAGTCAACCGTGATAAGCGGAGGTGCCGGGGAAGGACAACATTGTTTAAACACCCGCCCTAAGTGCTCATTTAAGGCTGATTCGGCCTATTCGGGAGCCAGGACCGGTCCAGATATCCATCACCGGTGGTGGTGAGCGGGAATCGAACTCGGGTCGTCGGGTTCGTAGCGCAGCGCGCTAACCGCTCCACCACCGCTCCCCATCACGGATAGACACACGCGCACACACTGATGGTCAAACACACACGCACATGCATACACAAACACACGTACACACGTACACAGTGCAACGGCGAATGAAATATTGTACCCTACACTGGCTAAACCGTCCGAGTGCGTTGATGTATGCACGTTTGATTGGAGTGGCATCAGACACGCGGCTGTGTGCGCGTGCGCGTGGCATCTTGCAATGCAGCAGTTTTAAGCGAAGCCCTGCCAAGGTTATGTCGTGTGCACGTGTAATGGATCTGCCAGTGGATGTGTGTGTGTGAGGCTGCTGCCCAGACCGCCCACCCACCCACACCCTGCGCCGTGCCGGCCTTCGTAGGCGCTGCTGCTACTCGCTAACAGCACTTGCCCCAGCAGTCTGTGGGGGGATCTTTGTCTTTGTGTGTGTCTGTGGTGGGAGCGAACCCCGGTGACCCGAGTTCGATTACTGCTCACGACCAATCATAATACACAGTTGACTCCGCTTCAAACGAGTACCTGGTGCGGTGTGTAGTAGACCTCGCCACTAGGGAGACAAAGGCGGCCGGGCGTGGGTGCTGTCCACCCGGCGTGGTGCTGGCCACCCACCCACCCCCTCGTGTGCCGCGCCGGCCTTCACAGGTGCTCGCTAACAGCACTCGCCCCGAAAGTCTGTGAAGGCTACACGGGGGATCTTTGTCTTTGTCTTTGTGTGCGCCAGTCAACTCCACGGCGGCCGCCGGGTCAGTCACGTGACCTCCTCCCGAGCCTCCGACGCTTCACGCGGCCGGCCTCAAAGCGCACCTCCCCTGGCACAGGCGCCACGGTGACGTCACCGCCACTCATTGGTGATCGGCTGCTGCTGCTGCTGCCACTTTGTGGACACACACCGAGGGCGAGTGAGCGTGCGAGGGCGATCCCCTTTAAACCACGCAGAGGTCAAACGCAAGCGGATCTGGGGGGGGGGGGGGGGGGGGGTGGATCAGGGGAAGGCATCATTCGACCTCCTCGGTCCATCCACCTCGTCGGAGTCGCCACACGTCCAGCCCACCCGCCCACGTGTCAACGCCCATCTTCCTCGCGGCTCACACATCCATTCCAATCCGCAGCTCCCCGTGAGCACGCCGCCGCCGAGCCCTGCTTGACCCTGCACCAAGGTCAAAGCCTCGCAGTTACTGCCCAAAGCTTCGCCCGCCCCCTTTGATGCCATCTCACCTCGCCGTCGCTTCCTTCCTCCTGCCAGATTCTGTGCAGCCGCTGCACCGTTGACAGCCCGTCGGCAATGGTCCGCTGTTAACGCTCTCATCACGACCGCCGCCGCCGCCACCACCGCCACCACCGCCACCACCACCGCCACCGCCACCACCGCCACCACTGCCACCACCACCGCCACCACCACCGCCGCCACCACCACCGCCGCCGTCACCGCCACCACCGCCACCACCGCCGCCACCACCGCCACCACCGCCGCCACCACCGCCACCATCGCCACCACCACCGCCACCACCGCCACCACCGCCACCACCACCGCCGCCATCGCCGCCACCACCGCCACCACTGCCACCACCACCGCCGCCATCGCCGCCACCACCGCCACCACCACCGCCACCACCGCCGCCACCGCCACCACCGCCACCGCCACCGCCACCGCCACCACCGCCACCACCGCCACCACCGCCGCCACCACCGCCACCACCACCACCACCCCCACCACCGCCGCCACCACCGCCACCACCACCGTCTGGCTTTAGGGTCTTCACTGCGGTCACTGGGGCCTGGGTTGACACTCCCAATGTAAAATATTAATTACGTTTAACAATACTTATATATAACGCGTTATCTCAGTCCATTGAAGTGGTTGAAATAACACAAATTAGCACGTAAAGAAAGAGAATAATTCGTAAGTGGTTTTGACGATGATGACGACGACTTAAGATTTGATAGGAAACATCCAATGTTCAACGGTAACTTTTCCTAATCGTGTTAATGAACACGAGGTAAGACCTAAACAATAATAATAACAACAGTCGTAACGTTTATAACAAACGCTGAATGAAAATAGTCCAAGAGCAGTCATTAAAATGTTGTAAAATGTTTAGGAGTTCTTGCAAACCATCACATTGTGAATCTGCGGTGCGGTGATTCACTATGACTAATGCGTGCACCTCCCGTGTCAGAAAACACCTCCAATAATCAAGCGGCACGAATGGTATTCATCAAACGCGTGCTCAATACACACGGATCAATGCTCGAGGTAACAGGACGGAAATCACAATTACTCGGCCAAGTAAACATCAACACCCGTTTGTAAACATTAAAGCAGTTGCAGGTGAGAATCATCGCAATTGCAAACATCGCCTGTAGCAGCGAGTGTTGTGACACGGTCCGGTTATTCACGACCCTCTGCCCCGGTGGTGGAAATTCCACATTCTTATGTCAGGGAAATGTATCAGGAACAAACAGAGAGCTGATAACGCAACAGAAAATGTATTGAACAGTTTGAAAATCAACAGTAAATTATAATAATAATGATACCCTGGTAAATATTTGCAACGTCCAAATAATACCGCGTCAGTGACACAGGATGGTAATTCAGCAACAGACGAGGGTCATGTCACAGTCGTTTCCTGACTGGCGGTCTCTTCGTCCCATCGTGACGTGAAGCGTCTCATCGCCCGCCACCTCTACCCCTCTGACCCTTCTTTCCTGAGCCATCCTCTCGCAGTCTCAAGACTTCACGCCGTTAAACCTTCACGCTGACTCTAGCCTCCCACTGACCTCCTCGCACTTTAACCCTCTTTAAATACAGCATCTTCAAACAACAACAACAAGTCCCCGGACGTGAGGAATGTCTCGAGACGCGGTTGCATCTAGACAGCTTTGCGTTCTACCCGCGACACTTTCAGCTTTGTCACTTGCGCCATCTCGCCTCCGGCCGGCGCCGTGAGCCGCGTACGGCGCGAAAGAAGTTCAATACCCACACGTAGCCACGGCGGCCGCCGCAGCCGCCGTAAGTTTTGCTGGCAAAGGGCGGCATTTTAAAAAAAAACATTTTCTTACATTTTTGGTTTTCCTCTCGCAAATTTGCACAGACGCCGGCCCTGCTGCGTGGACACCGCGCCACGCGCTGCACCTGTGCACGGATCAAGGCCATCGCACGGATCAAGGCCATCGCAAGCGAGGGTCTTCACCGTGCTGTTGGAGCTGCAACCAAAGCAAGATGCGTACGCGCACCGAGGTTTAATAAACGAGCGCGCGCACACACGCAGCACGGCCGAGCTTGAACGTTCCTTGTTCATGAGCCCGCTCAGCCTGAACGTTCCTTGTTCACGAGCCCGCTCAGTCTGAACCTTCCTCGTTCATGAGCCTGCTCAGTCTGAACGATCCACAGTCCTGTAAGGGACCGCACGGAGGCCATGCGCAGTGGGGCATCTAAACCTAAGCCACGTTTGGAGGCTGAAACTATTCCGCTCGCCCAAAACCAACGTGAACTTTGCCTCTCTTTAACACGCAGTCGTATGCTTCTGCGACCATAACAAGGCGTGTTCTTGTTGGGGTGAGTATCGCGCAAATATAAACCTCTCGCGTCTCATCACTCGATCGGTTTCGCAGCTCGATCTGGTGGCGCTTGTCATCCGCTCGTGAGAAGGCCGCCCCTACTTTCCGTTTGCCATCGGGGGCAACCGTGACAGCCACATCAGGTAGCAGCTCAAAGACCTGGTGCCTGCCGGGTGCGCGGTGAAGTTCGCCGGAGATCTCGTGAACGGGATGAGCGCGTCGCGACCGCATCGTCCGTGAGACGCCTTCACGGTAGCGCTGTCCGTGCCTCGCGGCGAGGGGCTTGCCTGCGGTTTGCCGAGCAAAGGAGAATAACAGCAACAACAACAACAAAAACTAAATAACTTCGAGAAAAAGAGCAAGCCGCACGAAACGTTTCTCGGGGTTTAAAGATCTTGTGGGACGCGCGCGATCTAATCACACGTACATCGTCACGGGGTCACGTGCGGAGATAAACAACAACAAACGGTGGCCGTTCGGGTCAGGGGGATGAAGACCATCATCACAGCCAATGCTGTCGATGCCACAGCACGCCAGCCATCGCTCCTTTCCCTCTGCTCGATCCTGTCGATGTTTCACAGCTGACACCCGCGACCTCCAAGGAGCCCTCTTACAGTCTCTTCACCACCACCTCCTTGCCACGCAATCGACGGCCACCCTCGCCGCCGCCCTCAGCACCGTCACCCCGCCGCCTCGCCACCGCTACCGGCCCACGGACCGTTGGGTCGCCATCCGCGTGGCCAGCGGACGACGGCGCATCACGACTCTGCACCGTGATCGTTAATTCGCACCGAGTGCAATTTTACGCAAATGGTCGGCAAGAGGGTCGGGGGTGGGGGGGGGGATGGTGGCGGTAGGGGGGGGGTAGAGGGGAGGGGGGGGTTATATTAAATATTAAATTATTGAACGGAAGGGAGGGGGGGGGAGATTTCGGAGTCCTCGCGAGGCCGGCGAGCCCTGCCGTGACAAACGGGTGACGACGGCTGATTGACGAATCACCGCGACGAGGCGATTTAGAGCCGCGCGCGGGTTTGAAGGGCAAACGTGGACAAGCGCACAGACACGCACACGCGTTACACACACACACACACACGCGTTACACACACACACGCGTTACACACACACACACACACGTTACACACACACACACGCGTTACACACACACACGTTACACACACACACACACACGTTACACACACACACACGCGCGGGTTTGAAGGGCAAACGTGGACAAGCGCACAGACACGCACACGCGTTACACACACACGCGTTACACACACACACACGTTATACACACACACACACGCGTTACACACACACACACACACGTTACACACACACACGTTACACACACACACACACACGTTACACACACACACACACGCGCGGGTTTGAAGGGCAAACGTGGACAAGCGCACAGACACGCACACGCGTTACACACACACGCGTTACACACACACACGTTACACACACACACACACGCGCGGGTTTGAAGGGCAAACGTGGACAAGCGCACAGACACGCACACGCGTTACACACAGACACCGCGTTACACACACACACACACACGTTACACACACACACACACGCGCGGGTTTGAAGGGCAAACGTGGACAAGCGCACAGACACGCACACGCGTTACACACACACGCGTTACACACACACACACACACGTTACACACACACACACACGCGCGGGTTTGAAGGGCAAACGTGGACAAGCGCACAGACACGCACACGCGTTACACACACACGCGTTACACACACACACGCGTTACACACACACACACGCGTTACACACACACACACCGCGTTACACACACACGCGTTACACACACACACACGTTACACACACACACACACGCGTTACACACACACACGCGTTACACACACACACGCACACGCGTTACACACACACACACGTTACACACACCCACGTTACACACACACACGCGTTACACACACACACATTACACACACGCACACGCGTTACACACACACACACGTTACACACACACACACACACGCGTTACACACACACACACGTTACACACGCACACGCGCGTTACACACACACACGCGTTACACACACGCACATACGTTACACACACGCGTTACACACACACACGCGTTACACACACACACGCGTTACACACACACGTTACACACACACACGCACGCGTTACACACACACACGCGTTACACACACACACGTGTTACACACACACACACGCGTTACACACACACACATTACACACACGTTACACACACACGCGCACGCGTTACACACACACACGCGTTACACACACGCACATACGTTACACACACACGCACGCGCGTTACACACACACACGCGTTACACACACGCACATACGTTACACACACACACACGTGTTACACACACACGCGTCACACACACATACGGGTTACACACACATACACGCGTTACACACACACGCGCGCGTTACACACACACACGCGTTACACACACGCACGCCCGTGCACACGCGTTACACACACGCACGCCCGTGCACACATACACAGACACACACGCGTCACACACACACACGTTACACACACACACGCGTTACACACACACACGCACGCATTACACACACACACACACGCACACACGCGTTATACACACACACGCGTTGCACACACGCACGCACACACACGTTACACACACACACGCGTTGCACACACGTGTGCCCGTGCACACACGCACAGACACGCACATGCGTTAAATACACACACGCACACGCATTACACACACACACGCGTTACACACACACACACACACGCGTTGCACACACGTGTGCCCGTGCACACACGCACAGACACGCACATGCGTTAAATACACACACGCACACGCATTACACACACACACACACGCGTTATACACACACACGCGTTGCATACACGCACAGACACGCACGCACGTGACACGCACGCACAGAGAGAGAAGCATCACCGCACTCGATAGCACGGAGTATATCAAAAAATAAAATCCCCGCGTGCTTACGACGCGTGCGTGCGTGAACACGCACGCCTCCGCACGCTGCTTGACCCTAGCGGCAAACAGCGCCGTGGTGGATGATGGTGGATGATGATGGGGCTTCGTCACGGACAAGGCCAAAAGCAGAGATCGACGCTCGTGTCGATTTGTAAATAAGCGAGCCCCGAGATCTTGGGCGAACACAAAGGGCATTGCGTCTGTGAAATGTTATGCTGTGTATGTATATATATACACACACACACAGTGCGTGCGTGTTTTATACTGCGCTCGATGGAAAGTCTATTGCTGTTCACGAATATCGCTCAGCGTTCTGCCCATTGCGTTCAAGTGGATTTTCTAAACGGCATTATATAGCAAGAGTCATCATCATCATCGTTGTTGTTATATTAACAATAACGATTAAGCGAGGCTTTGTACTTACTCCATATAACAACTATGTAAACGAATGTAATCACGGCTAACGATACTATATATCTCGACTGCTATCGTATTTCTCACGTAGCTGGACGTGTCTCACTGATGAACTCTTGAAAGGGTGAAACCTGTCAATCACCCACGGCCGAACGCGTCCACTAAAGGTTTCCACTCCAAGTCTTCCGGCCAAAGATTGACAGCGTCCATTAGTGAGGGAGTACTACATTACGTATATTTATATTTAATATCACCTAATCCCTGCCAAGGCGGAATTGATGTAGCCTAATGTTCGTCTAAAGGGAACGCTGCACACCGCTGATTACACGCAACTACTGTACAGGACTTCCACTAGTTACAGCCACTGCTATCACGAACGTCTGCTACCCAAGGCCACTAACACCGTAACCAACACCGGCACCAACACCACCAACACGGCCACCCAATACGCCACTAACACCATAACCAACACCATAACCAACACCATAACCAACACCACCACCCAATACGCCACTAATACCATCACCAACACCATAACCAACACCACCACATTTAATACGCCATTAACACCATAACCACTGCAGCCGCCACCACCACCACCCAATACGCCACTAACACCATAACCAACACCATAACCAACACCACCACCCAATATGCCACTAACACCATCACCAACACCGGCACCAACACCGCCACCCAATACGCCATTAACACCATAACCACTGCAGCCGCCACCACCGCCACCCAATACGCCACTAACACCATAATCACCGCCACCGCCACTCACGACTGCCATCAAAAGAACCGCTCCCGCCACTCACGACCGCCACTGCTTCCTTGACTTCGGAAAGATCCAAAAGTTTGTCGCAGAGTCGGCACTTCACGACGAATCACAGCCGCCACCACCGCCACCACCGCCACCACCGCCACCACCACCACCGCCACTTTTCAACATCTTCACCGTTACCGACGCTGTCACATAAGTGTATCAACCGGTTTAACAATTGCCACCACCATCACCACGATTACGACCGAACACGGCTACCAGCCGCCACTGCCACGCTACTGCTGCTACCCATCATCTTCATCACCACCACGACTACCACTGCCACCGTAACTACCGCTGCCACTAACACCACCTTCACAACCACCACCACCACTGCGAGCCATCGGCTAAACCCTCATCACCGCCAGCACAACGACCATTGCCACGTAAGTCGTCCGCCCAACATCGTATCCCCTGAACACCACCTGAAGCTACCACCTCGAACGCTGCCAACAACTGCCGCCACGCGATCGTGGCCCCATCGCCACCGCTGCCGCTCAACACGCAACGCTCACCACCGCCGATGCTCAACATCTGAGCGATCGCCAGCACGATCACCTCCATCGCCACCACTGCAACCCAAACTCAAAACCCTCGCCACCGCCCGCAGAATAACTTTACCACCAGCGTCACCACCAACACGGCTACCATCAGCACCGCCACGGCTATCACCACCGCTACCACTCCAATCGACCGCTGCTACCAACCAAAACCTCACCACCACTATCACCACTACTGCTGATATCACCCAAACCTACACCACCACCACCACCCATCATCGAAGCCCTCACCGCCGCTATCGCCAGCGGACGTGGTCCCGGCGACCGCACTCCGTCAGGGTGGAGACCATGGGCCAGTGCGTGGCGCGCTGCGGCCGCGGCTCGCACCACCACCACCACCACGGCCACCACCACCAGGGCCACCACCACCAGGGCCACCACCACGCCAACGGCGCGGCCCACAGCGGCGGCGGCAACGGAGCCGCCAAGCCGGGCCGCGGGCCGACGCTCCGCGGCGGAGGCCACTGCCGCTCCGACGCGACCGCCGTGAACTCGGAGGAGGCGCAGAACGGGGCGGGGCCCGTCCGTGCCGCCACCGCCGCCGCCGCCGCCGCGGGGCCCAAGCGGCGCACCAGCTGGCTGGGGGACGTGGTGGGGGGCGTCGTGGGGGCAGCTGCGTGGGGGCCGGCTGCCCGCTGGGGAACGCCGGAGAGCACGGATACGGGGGCGGCGGAGGTGGCGGGTGAGTGAAGGTGGTACCCCCCCACCTCCTCCCCCTGCACCCCCCCCCGCACGGCCCCCCGCACCCCCCCCCCCCGCACCCCCCCCCGCACCCCCCCCACCTCCCCGCACCCCCCCACGTACCCCCGCACCCCCCACGTCCCCCCGCACCCCCCCACCTTCCCCCGCACCCCCCCCACCTCCCCCGCACCCCCCACCTCCCCCCGCACCCCCCCACGTCCCCCCGCACCCCCCCACCTTCCCCCGCACCCCCCCACGTACCCCCGCACCCCCCACGTCCCCCCGCACCCCCCCACCTTCCCCCGCACCCCCCCACCTCCCCCCACGTCCCCCCGCACCCCCCCACCTTCCCCCGCACCCCCCCACCTCCCCCCACGTCCCCCCGCACCCCCCCCACGTACCCCCACACCCCCCCCTCACCTCCCCCCGCACCCCCCACCCCCGCACCCCCCCACCTCCCCCCGCACCCCCCCACCCCCGCACCCCCCACGTCCCCCCGAGCTCTCAATACTCTGATAGTGCGCTGTCTTTGAGTTGTACGCCTTTTGGCGTCATCTGGTCCAACACCAGTGGAAACTAGGCTCTAAGAAAAGCTGTCTCGGGTGTGGACCAATCAACTTCAAGGACAGCGCATATCATCATCATCAGAGTTGTTTCTTTTTGTTTGCATTTTGACTGCTTGTGTTGTGGTCATTGCAAACATGATGCCTTGTATAAAGGTGTCAGTTTTTGTACCAGTTGAGAGGGTAAAAACCTATTATTATATTTTGCCACTGGTAAAGGAGGTCTCATAGTGTACATTTTTAATCCTATTCCTGCGTGTATTGTCGAGGCTGATTATTGGATCTTTCCACTTAGTGCCACTCTCGATGGTGGTAATAAAACAATAATGATATAAAACATTAATGTTGCCAGCGCAGTGAAATCAGATGGGTTTCATGCGGGCAGTTAATTATTTAAAGCTTACGTGATGTGCATGCATCGTGGGGTCGCGCACGGAGTGCGTTGGGAGCTACGGGAGAGATCAGTGGAATCGGCTCGCGTGCGGCTCCTGGATGATGACGACGACGACGGTGAACGTGGTGGTAATCCCACCCTGGTGAAAAAACTAAACAACGAAAACTTACGGCACTTTTCCCAACAAATAAGTCGTAGCGCACGGGACACCGACAAATAGTGCGCAAAAACGGCGTTTAGAATTTTACTCTTGCCGAGCAGAAATAATCCAATTAATATGTACAGAGAGCACCTCCACTGAAGGCGCTCTATGTGATTAATGTCACCAATTCATTGGCTCGTTTCTCAGTCCGCTTGGCCTGGCGAGGGTCGCGGCGGCAGCGTGCTGAGTACGGCAGTCCCAGACCTGCCTGTCCCTGGCGACGGGCTCTACTACACTATACACTACTATACACTACTACACTATACACTACACTACTACACTATACACTACTACACTACTATACACTACACACTACTATAGACTACACCACTACACTATACACTACACTACTATACACTATACACTACTACACTATACACTACACTACTTTACACTACACTACTATACACTACTACACTATACACTACACTACTATACACTACTACACTATACACTACACTACTATACACTACTACACTATACACTACACTACTATACACTACACTACTACACTATACACTACACTACTATACACTACTACACTATACACTACTACACTATACACTACTACACTATACACTACTACACTATACACTACACTACTTTACACTACACTACTATACACTACTACACTATACACTACACTACTATACACTACTACACTATACACTACACTACTACACACTACTATACACTACACTACTACACTACACTACTATAGGCTACTACACTACTATACACTACACTACTATACACTACTACACTACACTATACACTACACTACTATACACTACACTATACACTACACTACTATACACTACACTACTATACACTACACTACTACACTACACTACTACACTACTACTATACACTACTACACTACTATACCTACACTACTATACACTACTACCTACTATACACTACACTACTATACACTACATTATACACTACTACACTACTATACACTACACTACTTTACACTACTACACTACTATACACTACGACACTACTATACACTACACGACTACACTACTATACACTACACTACTATACACTACTACACTACTATACACTACTACACTACTATACACTACACTACTATACACTACTACACTACATACACGACTACACTACTATAACACTACGACTACACTACTATACACTACACTACTATACACTACTACAACTACTATACACTACTACACTACTATACACTACTTACTACACTACTATACACTACACTACTATACACTACTACACTACTATACACTACTACACTACTATACACTACTATACACTACACTACTATACACTACACTACTATACACTACTACACTACTATACACTACACTATACACTACTATACACTACACTACATTATACACTACTACACTACTATACACTACACTACTATACACTACACTACTATACACTACACTACTATACACTACACTACTATACACTACTACACTACTATACACTACTACACTACTATACACTACTACACTACTATACACTACACTACTATACACTACTACACTACTATACACTACTACACTACTATACACTACTACACTACTATACACTACACTACTATACACTACTACACTACTATACACTACTACACTACTATACACTACTACACTACTATACACTACTACACTATACACTACTATACACTACTACACTACTATACACTACTACTATACACTACTACACTATACACTACTACACTACTATACACTACTACACTACTATACACTACTACACTACTATACACTACTACACTAGTACACTACTACACTATACACTACTACACTACTATACACTACTACACTACTATACACTACTACACTACTACACTACTACACTACTACTACTAACTACTACACTACTACACTACTATACACTACTACACTAGTACACTACTACACTAGTACACTACTACACTATACACTACTACACTACTATACACTACTACACTACTATACACTACTACACTACTATACACTACTACACTATACACTACTACACTATACACTACTACACTACTATACACTACTACACTATACGCGGTGTGTGTGTGAATCGAGCGCGCCGAATAGGATCGTGCGCGAAGCAACTCGAGTTTCACCCTCGACATGCAGAATCAACGTCACGTACTTCGGAGCATTTGGCTGCTATAAGTGTCCACGTGATAAGCCACTTCGCTGAGCTGTCGTTTGCGGCCCGAGCTGTGCAGCTCAGTGGGCCTCACCTGGTAACATTTTTTTTCTAATAAAAAAAAGTTTATAGTTTGAATAGTTTCAAAGCCAGCAGCACCGATGAAGGCCGGCAACGAAGGCGTTGCCGGCCTTCATAGGCGCTCCTGGCTATAAAACTATTCAAACGATAAACTTTGTGGGCGGCCAGCACCACGCCCGGCCGCCTTTGCCTCCGCAGCAGCGATGATTTTACACACCGCACCAGGTATTCATTTGAGTCTGAGTGGACCTAGGTGAGGCCCAGGACCGGTTCAGATAATCGTAGCCAATGTTGTTGATCCACCGCACCTCCGATTAGCACGGTCGGCTACGTACGGTGCGAAAGAAGTTCGACGTAGGCAGCTGTGAGCAGGAATCGAACTCGGGTCGCTCTGTTCGTCGCGCGGTTCGCCGAGTACTCCACGCTGCCGCCCCACACTACTGGAGACACGTGGCGGCGTAACGCGACAGCGAGTCACGTGACGGGAGAGAGAGAGAGCCACAGGAGATTGTGGGTGGTCCGGACGGGAGTGAGTGATGTGAATCCTTATTCTCCTCCACCCTGCCCACCCACCCACCCACCCCACCCCACCCCACCCTACTCACCCACCCCACCTCACCCTACCCACCCACCCCACCCCACCCTACCCACCCACCCCACCCCACCCTACCCACCCACCCCACCCCACCCCTACCCACCCACCCCACCCCACCCTACCCACCCCACCCCACCCACCCTACCCTACCCACCCACCCACCCTATCCACCCTACCCACTCACCCCCCCACCCCAACCCACCCTACCCACCCACCCACCCCACCCCACCCTACCCACCTCACCCTACCCCCCCCACCCTACTCACCCACCAACCCCACCCTACCCACCCACCCACCCCACCCCACCCTACCCACCTCACCCTACCCACCCCACCCTACTCACCCACCCACCCCACCCCACCCCACCCTACCCTACCCACCCTACCCTACCCACCCACCCACCACCCCACCCCACCCCACCCCACCCTACCCACCCCACCCTACCCTACCCACCCACCCCACCCACCCCACCCTACCCACCCACCCCACCCTACCCACCCACCCACCCCACCCTACCTACCACCCCCCCCCACCCCTACCCACCACCCCACCCCACCCTACCCACCCACCTACCCCACCCTACCCCACCCTACCCACCCACCCTACCCACCCACCCCACCCCACCCCATCCCACCCTACCCACCACCCACCCACGCCGAGTGAGCAGGGTTCAAGAGCGCCGCGTGGAGGAGCTGTTCCGGCGCTACCGCGACGAGCGCGACGATGCGGTGCTGGAGGAGGGCGTGCAGAGGCTGTGCCACGACCTGGGCTCCGAGCCGGCCGACTTCACCGCCCTGGCGCTCGCGTGGAAGTTCAACGCCTGCACCGACTGCCAGTTTACGAGGTGCGGGCCGGCTGTGTCGGGGGGGGGGGGGGCGGTGAGCTATGAGGCTCTTCCCTCACGGACGCGTCCAGTAGTTCTTGCAGGTTTCCAGGAAGTTTTTTTTTTCTTCCACGGGAGGTTCGTGAAAGGGCCTCCCTTCATGGCTTCATGAAAGGAGGTCCGAAAGAGAGGTTCAAAAGCAAGATCTGGAAGGAAGGTTCTGAAGGAAGGTTCGGAAAGGAAGTCTGGAAGGAAGGTCTCAAGGAAGGATCAGAATGGAGGTTCGGAAGGGAGGTCTCAAGGAAGGATCGGAAGGGAGGTCTGGAAGAAAGATCTGGAAGGGAGGTTGGGAAGGGTGGGTCTGGTAGGATCTTGGGAAAGGTCGAAGGGCACAGAAAGGACGATGCTGTCCGATGACTCCCAAGAAAGGTTTCGGTTGGGAGCCGGGAGTGAAATGAAGAGAGATTAAGATCGGAGAGGATGGAGGGGACCTTGTTTGGACCAAGGACCGGCCATCGAGCGGCCACAGAAGGCTAAAGACGAGAAATGAATCTGTTCATTCATTTGAGCGGTTGTTGTCATTGCTGCTGCTGCCATCTGTCAGGTAGCCGCAACACAAATGCCGGTGATCGTGAAGGACGCTGCCGGGACGTTGGAGGCAGTCGCCCTCCAGCAACGGAGGGCGACACATCAGCGAGCGGAGCGCCGGGCAGATAAAACAGCACTGTAGGGGGTACAGGTGGTGGTGCATCTGCCGGCCATCTCAGTCAGTCAACCCGTGGCACCTGCCGGGTCTGTCCCGTGACCTCCTCCTGCCATCAGCGAGCCTTCGACACTACACGTGGCCTCGGAGTGCACCTAGCCTGGCACAGGCGCCGTGGTGACGTCACCGTCACTTAGTGGGGAATGGCGGCTGTTGTTATGAACCCTCGAGTTTGAAGCCCGCTCCAAGCCAAATCAGTGGTGGATATCTCAACTGTTCCTGGTTCTCTCCTAGGTCGACTCGGCCTCAAATTGAGTACCTGCTGAGGCGTGTAAATATCGGCGTTGTGCTGGCAACACGATCTTCTCGGGAGCCATGCCAGATTGAACAAGCACTCGCTAACGCCACTTGCCCCAACAGTCCGCGAGTGTCACGTGTCTGTTGTGTGTGTCTGTGTGGGGAGCGGTGGTGTCGTCGTTTGCGCTACACTGCGCTACGAACCCGGCGACCCGAGTTCGATTCCCGCTCACGGCCAACACCAGTGACGATTATCTGAACCGAGCCTGGGCCTCCCCTAGGTCGGTGTGTAAACATCGCCACTCGGAAGACAAAGGCGGCCGGGCGTAATGTTGGCCACCCACTCCCTCGTGTGCCGTGCCGGCCTTCATAGGTGCTGCTACTCGCTCACCGCAGTCTGTTAATGCCACACGGAGGAGGGTCTTTGTCTTTGTGTAGCTGTCTCTCTAACTTTCTCTACCCCATCTTTCTTTCATTTATATCAACCCCCTCCCCTCTGCTTCTATTCTGTACCTCTTGTGTCTCTCCTACTCATACTCTTAGTTCTTTCGGTAAAGTCACGTAGGTAAAAAAAATGAAATTAAAATTTATAAAAATTAAATTAAAAATTAAAATCACGACGTTTCGGAGGCAACACAAGTCTCCGTCATCAGGTGGGACCGTCACAGCCAGATTTGCTGCATCAAGTGAGGCAGGGATTCAAGATGCAAGCTCTTAAATACAAGTTCAGGAGGAGGAGAGGGGGGAGGAGCTTATCAGAATGTGGTAGCCAATGAATGGAACGTATTGGGAGGTCTCTCTCTCTCACCTGTGCATCTCGCTGTCCACCCCCGCACCTCCGATCAGCACGGTTTTCTTCGTACGGTGCGAAATAAGTGCAACATACATACCACTCTACACTCCTGTACATTACACTACTATACAGTACACTATACACTACAATATACACAACACTACTATACACTAATCTATATACACTCCGATTAGCACGGTTGTCTATGTATGGTGTGAAAGAAGTTCAGCATACGTACGTAGAATCTGTGTATCTACCTATCACCTCCCTCTGCTCTATCCATTTCTCTCACCCCAATCCACCTCATTCTGTTAATCTCTCTCCTCCGCTCCGCTCCGCAGGTCTCTCTTTCACCTCCCCGTGCCTCTCACTTGCGTCGCATCTCATCTCTCCTTCCACTCTCAACCTTTCTGTATCTTCTTTCTCCCATCGGTCGCTTTTTCTCTACTACCCTTTCCGTTCCCCTCTGTTCCAGTCTCTCCCTTCTCTTTTTTTTACGATCAGAGGAAACAAGAAGATGCTCGGTGTAGTCGGCACTTTGCTTCGTTCATCATTTCGTAATTTTTTTTTTTTTTATTACATTTTTAAACTTTGCTTTATGTAAACCCCCACCTCTCGCTCACTCTCTCGCTCACTCTCTCGCTCTCTCTCGTTCTGCACGCAGCCCCTCTCGCAGTCCGACGGCCTCCGACGGGTAGCTCATATCAGCATGCAGAGCTCTCCGTCATCTGCCACCGAGCACACGGCCTCCTCCAGCGCCCACTGCTCCTTGAAGGCCGTCTCTCCACTCTTTCTCCCTGTCCCCCCATGCCCCTCTCTACCCTTGGTTCCTTTCTTTCCCTGTGTCTCCCTCCCCTCTGTGTCTCACCTCCGTGTCTCTCTCTCCCCTCTGTCTCTCTCCCCTCTCCGTCTCTGTCCCCTCTCTCTTCTCTCCATCTCTCTCCCCTCTGTGTCTCTCTCTCCCCTCTGTCTCTCTCCCTTATGTCTCTTCTCTCCATCTCTCTCCCACACTGTCTCTCTCCTGTCTCTCCTTCCCCCACCTCTCTACCCTCTGCCTCGCTCCTCTCGTTCTCGTCCTCCTCCTACCCCCCCCCCCCCCCCCCCCCCACCAAACAGAGCCGAGTTTTTTTCTGGCTGCCGCTCCATGCGCGCCGACAGCCTCCGCTCGCTGCGCTCCCGGCTGCCCGACCTCTTCTCCGACCTCCGGCACGAGGACTCCTTCCGCGACTTCTACCGCTACGCCTTCCACCTGGGTCTCGCGGCCGCCGACGCCGACGCGGCCGCCGCCGCCGACGCCGCGGCGGCCGCATCGACGGCGGCCGCGTCCTCGGCGGACCCCGGCCGGCGGCGGCGCTGCGTGCCGCTGGGGGCGGCGGCGGAGCTGTGGCGGCGCGTCTACGCTCGCGACGGCCCCCCGCTGCTCGGCCTGTGGCTGCTCTTCCTGGGCGAGAACCCGGGGGGCGTGCGCGGAGTGTCGCGCGACACCTGGCTCATGTTCCCCAGCTTCGCGCAGGCCGCGGGGCCCGACCTGGCCGGCTACGCCGAGGACGAGGCCTGGCCCAGCCTCTTCGACGCGTTCGCCGAGTGGGCGCGGGGACGCGACGGGCGGGACCGGCCACGCGGCGCCGAGGGGGGCGACGGAGGAGACGACGGGGCGGGGGAGGGGAGGGACGCGGAGGAGGAGGAGGGCGGCGCCACGAGGGAGAAGAGGGGTGGCCGCTCTTGCCGTCCGCGGGGCGGGGAGGAGGCGAGGGGGGGGGCGACGCCGTGGGCCTGCGTGGAGAGACGCAGCGCCGCCGGGGAAGCGGCCGCCCAGGACGGATGAGGCTCGGGGCCGGCGGCGTCCTGTACCGGATACGATGCGGACGCCTCGAGCGATGGTTGGCGACGACGACGACGACTGTGTGAACGCCGAGAAGTGAAGAGCAAACAGAGAGCGAAAGATGGGGCCAATTGGTGAGGCGGTGGAGGCGCCGTTGGCCGTAGGGTTACGGCGAGTGCGAGCCGGTTGTTGGCTTGTGCCTGGTTAGAGGTAGGGCCGGTACTCGGGATGCACTGGCTAGTTGGGGATATTACGAGTGGCAGGTTGGCTCGTTATGTTTAGAGTGATCTGGTGTGGTGGGGTGTAGGGCTCAGTACGAGTAATTTACCCGCTCATTGGTTATCAGCGTGTGAAGTTGTGCAATATTTAAATGCGATCGAAAAGACGCTGTTTCACAGAGAGAGAGGCGGTCAGTCGCAGGCAGAGGGACAGAAAAAACAATGGAAAGGCTTTCGGCCTAGGCTTGAGCAGGGGGGGCCAAAGGGATTTCAAGAGGAGGAGGAGGCAAAGCCTCGTGACGTCGGCCATCACGAGTGCGCACGTGGCCGGAGGGAGTCCCAGACCTCGGGGGCCAGCAGCGGAGAAGGAGCTCACTCCAGAGCCAAAGTGGGAAACGGCAGGAGGGGGCAGAACAGCTTTTGGCTCGTCGCCTGGGAGGCTGGAGACTCAATGTCAGGGTTGAGTCGGAGAGGTTTGTTCAGTGCACTGTCCTCCACAAACCCTTTGACCCCTTTCCACCCCATTACGAGGACCCCCCCCCCCCACCCCCCGCTACTCCCCCTTCAAGTTTCCGGTGTTCACAGCTTCCCCACGTCCTGCCGGACGGGTGAGTGTCATGGTTGACGGAGCGAGGCTCTTTGGAGGAGACGCCGTTACCGGAAACATGACCACGTGGTTTTGACGCCCAAGTCGCCCTCGCCGATGTGATGCGCTGCACGCGGGTGACGCCGATGCGTCGGCATGGTGGCGAAAGCGCCTAAGCGATCGCACCGGCCGCCCGTTAGCATCCAGTGTGAGAAATGCGTTGCCGTGGTGTGACGTGTCGCTGTGATTGGACCATCGAAGTATCACCAAGGCGACGTGTCGCTGTGATTGGACCATCGAAGGATCGCCAAGGTGATGTGTCGCTGTGATTGGACCATCGAAGTATCACCATGGTGATGTGTCGCTGTGATTGGACGAGCAAAGTATCACCATGGTGACGTGTCGCTGTGATTGGACCATCAAAGGATCACCATGGCGACGTGTCGCTGTGATTGGATTTTGTTATCGAAGGAAGGCGACGGGCATCTCCTCGATTTCGAGGAACGTTCGTTTCGGTTTCCCACGACACGCCGCGCGGACAGCAAGTTGCGGAAACTCTGCGGACGCTTTTTGATTTGACAAACAAGAGCGACCTTGTCATTGACAAAGAGCTTCTCAGCTCTTCAGATTCCTCCTGCCGTGCATCCCGAACGCCTCCACGCCGTCGCCGCCTCGCCAATCACTCCAACGTGCTGCCGACGTGTTGGTGAGTTCCCTGGTTGTTAATCCATAGTCATTACAATTTGTTTTTAATGTTTTACGTTCATCATCATTATTATTATTACGTTTCTTCTTAGTTCTTTCGGTAAAGTCACGTAGAAGGGAAATAATAAAATAATAAAAATAAAACATTATTAAATAATTCTCACGACGTTTCGGCCACAATGCAAGCAGCCGTCCTCAGGTGGAGAACAAGGCTGTCGGAAAGTCATTCAGACGCTGTCTTTCCGACAGACCTGTTCTTCACCTGAGGACGGCTGCTTGCGTTGTGGCCGAAACGTTGTGAGAATTGTATTTTATTATGTTATATTTTTTATTATATTATTATTTCCCTTCTACGTGACTTTACCGAAAGAACCAAGAAGATGAATCCCTGCAGTCACGAAAGCTTTAAATTGAAATTGTTATTTTTGTATTGTGAGAAGTGATACGTAGGCGGGTGTACAGGGCGCTTCAAGAAAAAAGTTTCAAACACTTCTGAGAATTTGCGACGACACCACCACGAGAGTTGTGCTGACTGCGAGCTCTGGAGACCACCTGGGGAAGATTCCAGGCACGCGCGTCGACAACGACGGCGATCGAGTGGGAGAGACGCTTTGACTTTGTGAATCTATCAGCGTTACATTCGTTATCCGTTCTTGTCCCATCGAAAACGATGGTTCCATCTAAGTGTGAACATTTTTTTGAAGCGCCCTGTATATTCGCGGGTCCGGGAGGAAGGTCGCATTCCTCATTTCCCACATTCAATGAGGGGGACACTGCCTCCCGGTGGTTCCGCTCTCGGCGCGCAACACAATTTGCCGTTCCCTCGCCCGGTCGATTCCTTTGACGTTTCAATGAACGCTCAACGGCAGCCGACGGCCAAAGATCGCGCGGATCGGAGCCCCGACGGGCGTGGGATCTTAGAGGCTACGCGGTCTCCTGCCCCGGCTGGCGGTGCCGCGCTGGTGGCCGCGCTGGTGGCCGCGCTGGTGGCCACGCTGGTGGCCACGCTGGTGGCCGCGCTGGTGGCCGCGCTGGTGGCCGCGCTGGTGGCCACGCTGGTGGCCGCGCTGGTGGCCGCGCTGGTGGCCACGCTGGTGGCCACGCTGGTGGCCGCGCTGGTGGCCGCGCTGGTGGCCACGCTGGTGGCCACGCTGCACCGCGTGGGCACCAGCGCTCGTCAGAGGTCGCAACCGGGTACCGATACCCGGCTACCCGTACCCGGCCGGTTACGGGTACCCGTTGGCGACCCTGGTGCGGCCGGGTACGGGTAGGCCGTGAGCCACTGGTGAGTCACCGTTTGTCACTCATTTCCCAACGCCTTGTCTCTTCTAACAATTCAAGTTCCTAGAATCAACCCACCCGCGCCTGCAACATGGCTTCATCCCAGAGGTCGCAATCAGGTACCCGATACCCGTACCCTAACCGTACCCGGCGGGGTACGGGTAGGGTACGGGTACGGGTAGGGTACGGTCGGGTACGGGTACGGGTACCCGTTTGCGACCCTGGTGCGACCGGGTACGGGGGGTAAGGAATCAAAACCCGTTTGCGACCTCTGGCGCTCGTGCTCTGCTCACGCGGCGGGGAGCGGTGGCGCAGCGGTCGGCGCAGCGTCCGCGCCACCGAACCCGATGGCGAGCCGAGTTCGGTTCCCAGCTCACGGCCGCCAACGGCGGGTGACGGCGATTGTCTGAACCAGTCCTGGGCCTCCGCCCCTAGGTCGACTCGGCCTCAAGTGAGTAGGTGGTGCGGTGCGTGAACATCGCCGCTGGGGGAGACATAGGCGGCCGGGCGTGGTGTTGGCCACCCACCCCCTCGTGTGCCGTGCCGGTCTTCATAGGTGTTACTCGCTAACAGCACTTGCCCCTACAGTCTGTTACAGGCTACGCGGGGGATCTTTGTCTTTCTGCGCCCACTTCTGTGCTCCCCACTGAGATGCAGTCGAAAACCCCCCCGCAGTCGAATAGCCCCCCGCAGTCGAATAGCCCCCCGCAGTCGAATAGCCCCCCGCAGTCGAATAGCCCCCCGCAGTCGAATAGCCCCGTCTTGGTGGTGCGCTTCGCTTGACGAACTTTTTGTTGCTGTTCGTGAAACGAATCTGTACAAGAAAGAGGGAGAGAGAGTGAAAAAAGTTCACATTCTTTTTCTAATTACTGAAATCAGCCGGAAGGCGGGAGAGACGCCGCTGTCATCCTTCTTGGACTAACTCCCCCGCTCTGTGCAGGTCACAGCGCCGGGCCTACGACCAGAACGCGACCGCCCGCTCCCCGCGAGATCACTGGGGCCATCCCGGCGCTGACTGGCGTGGCGGAGTGCGGAGTGCGTCCTGCGTGACTGGTGCGGGGTGTGGGGGGAGCGCCTCGTCCAGCGGTTGGGATGGGCGGGCGGTTGATCGCGGCCGCCTCTGCCGACGGCGATTCGCCGACGTCGCCGTCGATTCGGCGCGAGAGAATTCCTAACGACGCCTTCGAAGGAAATCAGTCACCGCCGTCGCCGCCGCCTCCGCCGCTGGAGCAGGAGGCGGCGGCGTGAGTAATCAGACGTCGCAACTCCGAAAAAATACCAAATGCAGGAATTGCGTCACGTCGCATGGCTCGGTGCCTCTGAAAGCACGAGGTACCACTCGCCGCGAACCAGTTGACCGCTGGAACGTTACCCTGTAACGTTACCCTGTAACGGACTAACTCCCCCCTGTAACGTTACCCCCCCTCCTCCACCCGCTCCGGCCGGCAGTGGCTCCGTGGCCGGCACGCCGGTGCCCGTCAGCACCGCTTCGGCAGCGGCCCCCACCGCCTGGTGACCCCCACCACCTGGTGACCACCTGGTGACCCGCACCGCCTGGTGGCTCGCACCGCCTGGTGGCCACCTGGTGACCCGCACCGCCTGGTGGCTCGCACCGCCTGGTGACCACCTGGTGACCCGCACCGCCTGGTGGCACGCATCTTCGTGCGCGTGGGGAGGGGGTGGTGGGCATCTGATAAACAATCATCGTGGGACGAAGCCCTCAGCCAAAAAAACACAGAACACACAGCCACACACACACACAGCCACACACACACACAGCACACACACAGCACACACACACAGCACACACACAGCACACACAGCACGCACACAGCACACACACAGCACGCACACAGCACACACACAGCACACACAGCACACACAGCACGCACACAGTACGCACACAGCACACACACACACACAGTACGCACACGGCATGCACACAGCACGCACACAGTACACACACCGTACGCACACACACACACAAAAAAGCACTTTAGGTGGAGCGTCTGTGGAGTAGAAACCGATCAAACTGCTCACTCTAATCAAAGGACTGCGAAAATATAAACTTTGGAAGATTTTACAAGCTGTATACACACACACAAAAAGCTACAATATGCTATTTATGTGTTAATTGCGTTCAAGAAGATGAATGTTATTGCTGCGAATGAAAGTGGTGCCAGTTACATTATTTTGAGTTGACTCTACGCGCT